AGAACTAAAAACTGTACTTTATGTCTCTGTACTTTACGTGCTGTAACTCTCGTTAAGATGTGTTTGAATTGACGATTTGTGTTTTTTAGGAGCTGGACAGTTGGGAAATAACACAACAGAAGTCTTGGATCAATGTCCACTGAAGTCTGTGGAAAGCTTTATGCCAATTTCAGTTGGCCTTTTGTCAAGTCTTTTAAAACTTTGCGTGAATATTTGGAACTATTTTAATGGGTGTGAAACTACATTTAACTCTTCCTTTTGGGACATTTTTCATCTTGAGTATATGCACACCCATCTAATGGTATACACTTCATTGATTTCTTTGGCCATTGTCTCAGTTAAGACACACTGGTGTTTTAACACCGAGTTTTATGTATATACTCATAACACTGCATAAAGCATTCTGGATATATGTAGTATTCCTTAGAGAATACATTTTTAGCACTTTATTTAGTTGAGATACTCCTGTCTTTGTGCAAACTGTAATGTAACTTGGTGTCAGTCAGTATGAAGTAGTCATGGTTAGCAGAGACATTGCAGTTCATCTATTCATGTTTTAATTCTCAGTTTCATTTCACGATGCTTCTTACCTCATTATTTGCATCTGTTTTGTGAAACTCCTGTAACTTTAATATGCATATGGCCAAACTGCTGCCTTTAACTTAGTTGTCAGGTAATGAAAAAGCCTTGTATGGGTACAGAGAACCCACAGCAATGAGGCTCTTCTAGTTTAGAGCAAGGGTTTGTCTGCTATCTCAGAACTTACCTTTGTTAAAATATAGGCAAGAAATATAAGTTCCGAAAATCCTTCACTCACTGTCACTGCTGTGTTGCTTATGGAGGGTCTGTTTTTTGGAGATGCTCAAACCTCAAAATGAATTACGTTTACAGGCTGGTAAGCTGCCAAAGGCTTCACTCAGAGTCTAATAACACAGGGGGACACAAATGGGAGCAGCCTTTGTGCTGTTCTACCAAGAGGCAAATGAGACCTGTTAGAAACAGATATGTTACAAAACTATTCCATGTGGGTCTAAAGTCAGTGGAAGATTTACCTGGTTTTATATTGCTAAGATGAACTTCCAGTGGTTGAAAAATTGCCTTATTTTTCAGTTTATAATCTAACTTCAGTTAAAAAAAAAAACAAGTTGAAGCAGATATTTTATTATAATTTCTCTTGTCCAAGTTTCATTTTGAGATTCTTCCTCCTTCTGAAACACACCAAGAAAACAGAACAAGTGCCTTACCTTAGTGATACCACCCTGATACTCAGGAATTCCACAAAGATGTATTGGATCTGAGAATTCCTTTATCCCAGAGCTAAGCAAACATTTCATAACAAATAACAAGTGGGAGGAATGTTGCCTCCTCATTTCTTCTCAACTTTTCTGCAAACAAATGGCAAGTTCCTCTAATTTATTGATTCCAAATTATTTGCTAACCACACAGATCAATGTATGTCTTTCCATTTGCTTTCCAATGGCATGGAATATCCCTTACAGAAGGATAGCAAATATATGTTGTGAGGGAAGAACAAGAGAACAGCAAATTGCAACTGAGCAATCTCTTGGGTTTTCCTTCCCACCATATTCTCACAATCACTGCTATTATTAGGGATAGCCACAGTGGGAGAGAGAGGGAATAGACAGGAGTCCCTGGTCTTTTTCATGCTGCGTTGTCTAGACTTAGTAAAAATGTTAGATTTTGTCATCTTGCTTCCTCTCATGGTGTTATAATTGCAGAGAATCTGAAATAAAAACGGAGCTTTGACCTATTTCGCCCTCTCCATGTTGGGTCCCCAAACCATCAAAGTTAATGGAAAGATATTGAGTTCTGATTCAAGGAAAATCACATGTGTACTTAAAGCTGTGCTGGCAGTAGGAAAACCTAGTGCATACATTTCCATGACAATCTTGACAGTATTTGATCATCTAGTGAAACATTTGAGCTGGACAAAGACATTGCATCTAGCTCACAATCACAGAGATGTTTCATGTATTTGTAGAAAAAATTCCAAGAAACACTTTTTTTAAAAAAACAATTAAACTGCCCAGGAGTACAGACTGCCCAAAATCTAGCCTTCAACAAGTTGCTTGGCAGTGTAGAATTAGAAAAGTTGGTTCTGTGCTAGTATCCTACCTCTGTGTTCTGGCATTTCTCAGCTGGTGTATTTTCCAGCCAGCGTGGCCAAGGCCACTTTGCTTTACCTAAGGCTAAAATTCAGGAACCTGCAAGAAAAGTATCTGGCAGTTATTGCCCAATTGCCCTTTTGCAGTGATCCATGGGACTGCATCTCTGTCAGAAGCCAGGTCAGCATTCTCAGCATTACTTTGGAATTACCAAAGAGATTTTAATATGAATCCTTGAAACCATTCCATACCTGGAAGAAATGGAAAATGGTCTGTGATTGATTGAGTGTTCAGACTGCTCTGTGGCACTTCCCCTTTCTTTTTGACAACTTCATAAAAGTAGATGTTATCAAAAAAAGAAGGTATCTTTCATTCACACAAAATTTGTCAATTTGGAGGATGTGTCTGATGTAAAACCCAAAGGAAAGAAGCTTTATTGGAGATTTAGGGTAATTTCAGATGGAGAATAAAGCAAATAGTGTAAGGCACTCAGTCAGGTACAGCCTACGTAAAGGTGCAGCAACATACCTGCAGTACAGAGCCCAGAATTCAGTTTGCTCAGCACCCCCTCCCCCCCACCTCCCCTCACCCCAAATTCTCAGTCCACCCTTATAATGTTAAATATAGAAATTACATTTGGGGCTGAAACTTGGTGTACATCAGGGACAGTTTCTTACAGGAAAATGTAGAAACCCCTTTGTTCCATATGGTTTGAATCATTTATAAAATGAATCCTACAGGGATAATTTCAGATGTGGAAACCTTTAAAATGGGGAAATAAAAAACAGATTCACTACATTTTTGTTTGCCAGCTGAAAAAAAAATCATTTAGCAATGCCCAGTTATCAGTGCACTCTAGTACATAAAGATTGCCTCTCAGAACCACTTTTAAATTGTGTGATGACACACATCATAGGGATTAACATATTAGTCTTCTTCCCTACAGGAAAGTACTTTGTCATGACCAAATGTGATCTGACATTTGAAATATGGCAGCTTATTGCAGTGAGCAGGCAAGTTAAATTCTTGTCAATTATTTAAAGCCTGTCTCTTATTGACAGAGGTAATTTTAACCTTCATATAGAATGTTAAGTAGATATAGGCTGAGATACATAATTATGAATTCATGCTGAAAGGAGGAGAGGGGGTAAATTATTAATCAGAATATCATCTATGTTTGTTTTCATATTATTTTTCAGGAGGTAATTAGACCCTTCCAGTTCATAACATTAAATCTCTTCTATATCACAGTATAATTTTATGAGCACTATTATTAGGCCCCCAGGAAAGATGCTTATATCGGGGAGTACTGTGAAGATAGCTTTGATCTGGAAAGACAGAAGTGCATTTCCCTGAAAAGGGAATAGTATGGCTATAGACTCTTGAAGACCTTTATATCTCTGATAAACTTTTTCAACTGGAATAGACTGAAAGTCAGTTATAGCATTAGCTTAGTAAATAGTTAAAGCACTGAAGATTTCATATGTAGCCTTCTATTTTCACTTGTGTTTCATTTGCTGTTGAGTTTTCCTCATGAGAAACAGTTCTGAAAGTGCAGAAAATTCCACAAATCCTTAGGAAACACAGTGCTTACATTAGGCATTCAAACTGCTCTCCTTCTGATACCCTTGGCATTCCGGTCCTAGGAGGTTAAGCTAAAGAAAAGCATCAATTTCAGAAGGGAATAGGTGATACATGTCTGATGTGTGCATTTTCAAATAATACTTTTTGAAGAAGGAGGTGGAATCATGATCTGGGAGGACTTAAGATGTTGGGCAAGATGGTTTGCAATTGACGTTTGTTTGTCTGCACATATTTTTCTGAAGCATAAGAGATATGTAGTCCTCATGGGATGTCAATTTTGGCAGGAGGGTGTTGGCACATGGTAGAGCCTCACTGATCCAAAACAAAAATCTATATCTAGTATTACGTATATAATGTAATAGAATTACCTGATGAAACTTGTTCTTGGTGTTTGAGTTGGTAAAAAAGAGTGTTTATTACAACATGTTTTACAAAACCAAGAAATGAAATAAAATCATAGCTGATTAATGAACTGCATGGAAATACTTCCTCAGTGCCACCCACATATCCCTGGCCCTGATCCTGGAAACACTTCATCACATGTGCAGTTATATGCACAGATACTATGTGAAAAATACAGTGTAGTTTTCCCATACTTACTTCTGTCTTTCAGGGATCCAAGAATTAAAACAATCAGATACTTGCTTTCACTGATCACTTTTCTCTTGTAGAAGGGCATAAATTTTAAACTGCCTCTATGATGACTGAATTGTGGGGAGTTGATTACTGAATGATACTACTAAGTGTTCAGATGCTTCAGCTTTGTGCTGCTGTACTATAATGTGCTTGCGTTTCTACTAGGAGTAACCTTAAGTCTGGGATTCCCATCTGGTAATATCTTGTTCTGAAAAAAACCCTGAATATTAATTCAAATATTTTGTTTTACTAATGTATGCATTTTTTAGAAGTTGCATTTTCTAAAAGCATTTTCTTTTTATGTGAGCCTGTATATCCTGTACACAAACACATACACAAACAAGTCTATACTGTGAAGGATGGATTAATATTGAACATGAAATTATTCACGGTACTGTGAAGGTGCTATGCTGCCAGTCCCACAACATTCTTGTTCTGTGTGCTACCAAACATGAAACCTGGTCATCTCCAAAGTGAAACAATGCATGCTTTAATTGGGAAGACTATCTAGGTTATAGGCTGAACAAATCTAATTTAAAGGAGCACATTTCAATCTGTGTAGGCATTGAAGGGAGATCACTTTAAGACCTAGCACGTTCCAGCTGTGAACCTTGACAGTCTTTCCTCTAATTTGTGGTGGTGGTTTTTTTTCAGTCAGGTTTGATAAGGACACAGAAGATCGAGTTCCTTATATCTCCGTTACCTCAGCAGCTAGCACAGGAGCACAACTACACATCACCTGCTGGACACCATCCTCATGTGTTATATAAACGAACTGCCGAAGAGAAGGTGCACCGGTACACAGTACAGTCCAATCCCAAATACTTTTCCCTTGGTCATCACAGAACTCACACTTCCCACAAGTATCATGCTCAAGCGAATGGTTACCACCATGGAAGGTTTCAAAAGCAACATTTTTGTGGACGTCGCAAGAAATGTATGTAAGGAAACTTTCTCTCCTTGTTTGAGATAGTCGCTCTTAGAGACTGTATGGTGATTCTGAGGTGTGGTCCATAGTCACCTTTGCAATGGAGACACAGTAATTTTAAATAATACGGTTACAAAGTGAAGTAGATATGGGAAATTTGCGTATTCCTTTCAATTTATGTCATCATCCATTTTATTAAGCCATCAGAATCACTTTTTAGTTTTCTTACTCTCTGCCTAGATTAAAAAATCCCTTGCCTGATTTTTTTTTGACATTGATATAGTTTTCAGTAAGCAATTCTTCTTTAGATTGCTGCTTTTTGCACAGTGATGGATGCCAAGTCCCTGAACTGCTCTCTGTTATTTTGGGGATAAATAACTAATAAGGCTGGAAGATGAAGAAAAAGTCTTCCAAATCATTACTTTCTGAGAGGATAGAGAATACGTCTTTCAGAACTCACCATGTGATAATGAAATTTTCAGCAACTGAGATCTTTGGAAAGAACCTCCCATGTAAATTGTTTTGGAGCCATCTCTTAAAAAACATATTGGAATATATTATCCTGCCAAGGTCTATTCTTAGTCCGTCATTCAGCTCTCAAATTGCAGAACATTTTAGAGCCCCCTTGGACCCTGTGTCCGTACTTAGAGCATTCAGTTAATTCTGTTTGGAAGCTGATCTGCTTCTGAGCTGAGTTTCTTAATGAGGATCTCCAGGACTGCACACAGTATTGAAAACTGGCTCTCAGTCCGGTTATATTCTTCCAACTTCCTACTTGGGTTCTGAGAAAGTAAATAGGTTCCTTTTCCAAAAAGTGTGTACGGAAAAAAGAGAAAAACAAATAGAAGGGAAGGAATGAGAAAGGAGGTGGTGGAAAAGGTGTCTGTCAGAGACTGAGGCCCATTTGAGGCCTGAAAACTGCTTATTAAAAATTGACTGCTTCTTCAAAGATCCTTCTCCCTAGATTTGAAAGCTAGACCTCAAATGCCAGATGCACAAGCCTATGATTCAACCTGTAAACATCTGCATTCTGATGCAGTTCAAAACTACCTCATTACACACTCCCTTTCCCTCCTGTCTGGTTTTCCTGCTGCCTGCTTCAGAGCAGAGGATAATGGTGCTAAGTTAGCTCATCTGACCTACGGTGTTTTATTTTATTTGCAATGTCCACTGTGGTCTTGTGCCTTATTTACTGTACCCCCTGCGACTGCTTGTCCAAATTCAGAATTATTCATGTCCTCTTGAGCTTTTAGAATGGTGCTTTCCGCTATAATAAATGAGTGCATTTTGAACAGTGTGTTTTCATAACCTCCTGGGATGTGAGAAGATAATATCATTATTCCTGTCTTACAAATGGGACTCAGAGACACAGGAGAGGTCAAAAATAACCATTGCTCCTGGGTACCAAATCAATACATTGAGTTTTTATTTAAAATACTTATCAGAATATATGTTCCTGTAGTTGTATATTTGTATCTATATAGTCAATAACTTCAGTTATGAGTTCTTAGCTGCACATTCAAGCTGGATTTATGTTAAAAGAAGAACATGCAATTAGCATCCAACTGTGATGAGTTTAGTATAAGTGGTTTACCCATTGCTTAAGAACTCGGTGTCAGACACACTGTTAGAATCCAATTAAGCAAGATTGCATTTAATTACCTTAACCATGAAACTCTTTCTTTTCATATCCTGCAGTCTTTCACTTCTTGCAGTACATACCTGTAACCTTCTGAGAGAAAAGAAGGAGGAGTTCTGAAAAATAACAACCTATTTCTATACCCAGCCTTGGTTAATGCATGGAACAAGTGTATCTCATGTTCGCTGAATGAATGCAGTCTTACAAATAGAATCATGTGTGACCGTTTAATTGAGTGGGGCAAATATAGGACGTAGAAGAAAAAAAGATCACTCTAGTAAAGGCAACACACTTCTATCAGTATTTGGGGCTTTTTTCTTCTTCCTTTCTTTTTTTTTCAACACCTCCCCCCCCCCTTTTTTTCCTCTGTTTTTCTTAGTTTTTACATTGTTTTGCTGGTCTTGTTCTAAGATCTGGAGTCCTCTCAGTTTGAAATTTTCAACAAAATCCAGTCTCGTCACCTGCAATAGAAAATTTCAGCTTGAATGAACAAAGGCATTGAGAATGCAGTCCCATGGAAGGCAGTCCTTTGCTATTAACACTGCCTAGTCAAGGTTGATTTATCCTAACCTAGGAATGAATCCAAGTTAGCTGAACAGTAAGAGGGAAGAGCACACTGCCACTTTTAGTGTCATAAAAGTACCTTGTCCCACTCACCATCTATTAAAATTTCATATGCTGGCAATTTGTAAGCACTAGAGAAGCCAGTTAACTGGCTTCAAACTCTTCTTCACAATGTAAATGTTTTTAGATCATGAGAATTGACTAGACCGTAGTTAGTAAATCATGCTTGAAGCGCTGCTGCTTAGGTTTTATTAGTAGCAGTGGAGTTAATTCAAGAGCAAAATTCCACTGCTCATGGATTTATGAGTCAAATGCCTTGAAGTTGTCTTGCCTTCAAAACAGTACATGGAAACCAGTGTGCTATGAACTGAACACTTCACTCTTGGGTGAGGCATGTCTTCACGTCTTGACGTGCTTCCAGAAGGGAAAAGTTCTTTGAGCATGTAAAGGACAATTTTTTATAAGAGTGATACATTTTAAAATCTTACTAGCACAGTCACTTGCAGTGTTAAATATAGTTCAGAGTGACTTAGTTCTTGAAAGCAGACCACTGTTATACATTCTATGGTATTCCTGATTTCCCTGTTTGGCAAGGAACGAAATAGTGTCTGCTTTAGCTCTGTTGTTGGAATAACTTTCTGATGAGGCACAGACAGGATTTTTTTAATTACTTGAGGCTCTCTCACTTGTGTCATGTTGCATCTTGTGTTAAAAAAAACTGATTGTTGGTGGCCTTTGAGTTAATTCTTGATGCAAAGGCAATGTAGGTGTGTATGCAAAAGAAGCTATGAATAAGAGAAGCATTATAGGATGTAAGACATAGATTTCATTTTGCATTTTCTGGCTCTGTGAAGAAGTGGAGTAGAGACCATTCTCTAACCATGCCATTGACCATGCTACACAAGCACAGAGAGACAAAACACACCCTGGCATTGGGGTGTGTGGGCTGGATGCACGTATCCTGTTGTCAAGCCCTCCTTGCTGTTGCCTGGCATTTCCCTATACTAAATTAATATGTTCC